ATATCAAGTCTTCACATCATCAATAGGTTTGTATATTACCAAGAACAAGTGCTATTTGAGGTTGTTACCAAGAGAATTGAAGCAGTGTTGTGCAAAACCCTGATTAGGATTTCTAGTTGAAAAAGTCAATTATAGTTTGAATTTTGGTCTAAATGGGTTTCTAAAGCTTGAACTATGGTCCATGATGTTTCCATGACTTATTGAAATCCCCTCAAGAAGTATGAAAGGTTTAAAAAACCCCAGAACACTGAGGATCGATCTTGAAGATTTCAACTATTCGGTTCGTTTGTCTGGAAAGTCAACTCTTTGACTTTTAGGGTTTTGACCCCAAATTGAAGCAATTAAGGTTTCCAACATCATGTTATGCCTAACTAGTGAGTTTGGTGGAGATTTAATTTAGAATTGGTGGATAACTTGTGAATCAAGAAATTAGGGTTTATTAAAAATCCTAATTACAAGCTTATTTGGAATGGTCATAACTTTCAAACCACACATCCAAATTGAATGGTCCAAAGCTGGTTGGAAAGCTCTTGAGAAGTCCTAGAAAAGTTTCTTAGAGGGTTGATGTCCAAAAATGCATAGATCTTAAGTTGTGAGCTCATCAATTTGTGAAGGATTTCCACACTTAGAAATTTTTCTTGTTTCTTGACTTGTAAGTCAAGTTTTGCAGCCAACTTCATGAAGATTTTTGACATAGTTTCCTTTGGAATTTGAGCTTTAGCCAAACGTGAACATTGTATATCATATTTGGGACTTTTTAAAAAGTACAAGAGCATTTCCACAGCCTTTGTGGTTAGGGAGAATCGAAAAGAGCAAGTTAAGAGGTTTTCCATGTCACAAAACCAAATTTAACACTTATATTTTGATGCATAAACCATTCAAACCTCTTCTAATCACTTGTTTAACTCATTATTTGATGTTTAGAGACTTTATTGATGAGGTTACATTGGATTACCACGAGCAAAAATCAGAAATTGGATTATATGATTGTTTATTCAAGCAAGTGGCAATAAGAGAGAAACTTTTTGCATTTTCTGCTACACCTCAGCTACTGCATCAGTTACTCTTTTTCCTTCACTTCATATCAACTATTTGCAGGCTATTGATGATGTTGAAACACATAGGAAGTTGGCTCATGCTCAGAAAAGAAATCCCAAGTTGGATTTGCTCATTTTGCCTCCAAAAAGAAAAAACTTTGTTAGTTGGCACAATCTGCCCATACCTCTCATTCTCCAAGCTTGCCTATAAATAGAACACACTCTTAAAATCCAAGCAACACCAGAATCAACTAGAAACCAAGTTGAATCTCTCTCATTTCTATGATCACCATCTTCTTGCAAGTGGTAGAGGTTGCTTCCTTGTGAAGAAAAATCTGTCTTTGCAAAAGCTTGACCACAACTCAATACAACCACCAAACACTTCAACTAACACCTCAAACACATCACATATGATGCATTGAAGTTGTCCAAACCCTCACGTTAACCAAAAAACCTCACATTCCAAAAGTCAACTCTTATACCTTGAGATTGTGACTTTTCTGCATCTTCATAGATCAAAACCAAACCAGCCACTTTCCAACCATTCTAACACTTCAAAAACTCTCCATATAAGTTGTTTGAACTGTCCATGGTATCACAAAAGTTCAGTAACACCATTTTCTAGAGTTTCACTTTAAAGCTCTTGGTGTTTTCTTGCATAAGAAGGCATTTTGTCAAGGCAGTGATCTTGGAGGATTTCTCATTATTTAAACACCTTATTTGAAGTATATTGGAGTTGTTTGGAGCATCATCCATCATCTGGTTTTCTTATTTGGTGCATTGACTTGAAAAAGCTACAAGACGTAAGTATTCCAACTTGCTACTTTCAAGATCATGTTGAGTTTCAGAATCTAACTCAGAATTGCAAAATTGATAGTAGCGAAATGTTAAGTACAGAAGCAAGGAAAGTAAAAGCAAAGACATAAGCAGTTATCTTGATTCCTCTCACAAATTGCACTTCCAAGGGATTTTCATAATTACCAAACTAATTACAAATGCTCAAACACGAAGCAAGAGACTTCCAATGCTCAAACTCACAAGTAAGAGACTTATATGCTCAAGCACACAATCAAGAGACTTTCAATGCTCAAACTCTCAAGTAAGAGACTTCTATACTCAAGCACACATGCAAGAGACTTCAAAAATGCTCAAGCTCTAAAGCAAGAGACTTCTGACTCTATAAAAAATTGTTAAGAGATTTGGGTGACAACTACACTTGATATACAATCAGAGGTGTAGACAAAATACAACTTAAAAATACTCTAAGACTTAAGAACTTATAAAATATACAAGGTGTAAAGAGGTTCTAACTATATATGATCTAACATAGTTTCTTCTATTTGAAATGTCAAGGTTCAGAGTCTTGTGATGCAGAGTATTAGTTTTCTTCTTCAGATTTTATGCTTTTTATATAGAGAGAAAGAAAAGAGACATTGAAGACTTTCACCAAAAAGATGGGTAGACTTTGTACCTGATTTGACACATTAAGAAAGCACATTTCTGCAAGAGGAATTATCCGTTGAAGCTCAAACAACAAAGATGAGATTTTTTCTTAACTCTTCACGTGATCAATAAATCTCTGAGTCTGTCAAAATTTTCTCGATTAAAGAGAATATGCTTCAGAGGTTGACTTTCTTCAAACTTCACTCTACAGAGTCTGATTCTTGACTTCTGAAGCTTCAGAGTCTGGATCACCAGAGGTTGACTTCCTTAAGAGTTGACTTCTTCAAAGTCTGAATCTTCCATTAGAGTTAGAGTCTTCAAAAGTGATTTTAGAGCCAGGGTCTAAACTTCAAATTCAGAATCCTCAAACTTTTCTTCATTTGTTCTTAGTCTTATAATCCTACATATTTGAACAAATGTTAGAATATCTAATTGTTTTTTAAATACTTTATTATCATCAAAATTCAAGGGATATGATATCAACTAATTTTATTCTAACAATGAAGACTGCAACGACAACCTAAAAACAAAACTAATTAGTTACATGCAAGATATAAGTAACAAAACATTATTGAAATTGAAATAGAACTAAGACATAAGTTATTTTGTAATTCACAATCATTGTTTGTTTGGATACACGCAGACATATTTATTTATGTGTAAAAACTCTTCACTTGAATGAAATTAGTATTGCCAATCATTGAAAATAACAGTCCATTTCAATTATGGACTGCAACAAATAAGAATTTGCGGAAGTATATGTGCAAGTATAAAAAACTACTCATTTACGCATGTATTTTTTATATTTGAGGTGGGTTTTAAAAATGCATTTTCAAAATAATTTTAAAAATATATTTTTAGACTTTTTTTTTATAAAATGAGAATGTAACTCACTTACACATATGTTAATGTATTTCAAATGCGTCTGAAATTATATTTCTAAATTCTATAAACAATTTTAGTTTTTTACTAAGGTGGACTAACAATACTTAGGGTGCCTTAAACAATCCCTACCTGAATAATGCTAGTAATACTTTCATACACAAGTTAAAGGTGCCATGAAAATATTGAGACTGCAAAAAAAAAATTTATTGCACACATTATATCTTTAATTGGACTTAGGCATGACAACAAGATAGGTCCCAAGATGGTATTTACCTTCTCCATATTCAAATTTGAATTTTTGAAAAATCTCTACTTTTCACTCCGAACTCAAATTTAAATTCGTCTCAAACTGATTCGAATTGAATTCTAGTATGCTCATCCTACCACCATCCATATAATGACATCATTTTTTTAATTCATTAAATTACATTATAAATAATAAATAAAATAATTTCAAAAAATTTCATATCTATATTTTAAATAAAAATACAAATTAAAATTTCAAAACATTTGTCAAATACTTCATATTTTAAATTATCTAAATAAAATAATAGGCTATATTTTAAATTATCTAAATAAAATAATAAAATATATAATAAAATAAATATAGTGGATTCGTGGTACTATGTCTCAATTATCCGATCAAACCCACTCTATAATAAAATGAAACTTAAACCCAAATACAAATTCTATCAAAAGGGATTTTTCCAGTTTAATTCGAGACAGATTCGAATGAAAGTCTATCAACATGGATTATTATTACGTTGCCATGACTACTTTTAATGTTTTTCACATCAAAATCCAGCACAAAACATGATTTATCTATTTTAGTCCTTTATGATTATTCATACAAAGATTAAAATATATATGATATAAATAACTTCATTCTTCTTAATTGTTTAAATTAATTTTTAGCTAGCCGCCAAATTACATGTCCAAAAGCTGAAGTAGAAGGGAAACTCATATCTCTAGTATACTCAATAATTGAGAAATATTGAAACACAGCCAGAATCTGGTAAGTATTGTTTCTTTTCCAAGTTGGTTGTCACGAATATTTCGCCCGTGACTTCGTTCTTGGAGCTTCTCATTTCAGTAGAGATACACAAAGCGTTTCAAAAATAGTAAAATTGAATTCATTCTCAAAATGTACTTCTTCCGTCCCAAAATATCAAAATATAAAAGAAAAAAAATACTCACTTTTTTTTTTTAATAAGATTATAATATATAAAGAAAAGATGGAGCACAAGAAATAGAGAGGAGACTAGATAGTTAAATAAATCTAAAGAAAGACAAACCAAGTCTGTTCTTTACAAAATCAGCCCTAATTTGCATTTTGAAAAAAATGAAAGTTGATTTTTTTTTCTTATATTTTGAGATAGAGGGAGTATTTTGCAACATTTATGAAGAAAAAAAATTATTCATGCACTAGTTCATTTAACGAGGTAAAATCGGCTTATGTTATTGTAAAGAGTCTTTGTCACCACTTAAAGGAAAGATTTTTTCCTGAATAATAATAATATCAATAGCATATATGTTGATTTCAGATTTAGCGAAAGGAGAAAAATAAGAGAAAATCTAAAATAAAGGGGCTGACAAGAATTGAACATGGAATGGCACCTACGTATATGCTGTTGTTCAATCTTCAATAATGTACCGGTTCCTCCTTGCCCCAAATGCAAATCTCTGTATGTTAACAGAAAAGAAGGCGTTGAGTTCTGAACATGATAGAAATGCCAGATTATGTTATGGTCCCTAGTTCCATGATAAAAAAGAAATTTAGGGCATGTGCATTTATGAGCTAATGTGATGATGCATGCAAGTACGAGATTTAGACTATTGAAAATTAGGATTTTCTTAACTGAAAATATCTGTGAATAGGCTTTCAAACCCGTGAGGAACCGGATGTATGTCGGCTTCATTGAATTGTTGGTAGGGATAGATCTAATATTTGGAACTAAGTATTCTGCAACCTGAAAATCATCAGATATGTTAGAAATGTAATAATGTTCCGTCACTTAACAATTTAAGCTTCTGGAAGAGTTGAATCATGCAAGTAATTGTGAAGAATTTCACTTCGAATATTTTACAGATCTATAGCCTATGCCATTTTTCCACTTGAGTTTACTTTCATGAAGTTATTCACAAAAGCTACATATCTATGAAACATGAAAGGACAAAATCACTTGCTTTGATTGTCAGGCAATCAAAATGATTTAATGAAACGCATTAGGGCACAATATTAGCATGTTTATCTATCACAATTCATTGCCATGAAATGTCAGAATATTATAATATTCTAACATGAAAATCTTACCACTTCGGCTGGTTCAGCCAAGACATTAATGAAAAACTTTGCCTGCAAAGAAGAAAGAAGTTAGTCAGTTTAAAGAAGAACTAAGTGGAAACTGTAAGATAGTTGCATATTTACCTGTTTTGTATTGGCGCCAGACATGAGAAGATCAGTTGTAACCATTCCTGGCTGCAACACCAAAAAGAAGGGGGTAAAAAGAGAAAAACAAGTCCTACAGTTGAGGTGAAATGAGAGTTTCAACCGTTAAAGCTTTACTGGAATTCTATCCTGATGTATTTTCTTAAATCCTGTTTCCTTAAAGGTGAAATGTGACATGATGAAAACACTTGAACAAACTAAAACCATAACTAAATAAGAAAACCATGCAAATGACAGGTTTAAGAAATCATTTTTTTTCTGGCAGTGGATTGCAGTTAGAACCATTTGGTTTTGATGACTGCACATTTTTAGCATCCACAAAGATCTAATACTACAATTCTCTAATACACTGGCCCCGTGTTTTTTTCAAGCATTTCTCCTTTTAAGAATTATATCAATCAAGCTCATGCTCAAAAGGTAATTTTGTTCTCCTAGATTTCTTTCCGCTTCTTTAACATTCCATCTATTGAACTCGCATGGCAAATTAAAGTTCATAGTGGCCGTAAGCCACTGAACTTTTCAGGGAATCAAATTCATGTGCATTTCCCCACATGATATGCATACAAAATTAGATTGTGAGGTGAAGAATCCCACTTATAAATACATTTTCATCATATATCTCATCTAATGTGGGATTCTTAACACACCCTCTCACGCCCAGGATTGAACATTTGGAGCATGATCTGTGTGGCTCGGTAGCAGTGACCTTATAGCAGGTGGCTAAATGAACCTTAGATAGGCTCTCCTATCATCTTAGAATTTGTTGAGCACTATCTAAATCCCAATAATAAACACGATTTTAGACCATATCTCATCTAATGTGGGACTTTTTTGAGTTTTGAATTAGATCCTCAAAACCACTGTATTGTTCAAGGGATGAAAAATATGTAATAGGATTAGCACAAAATAACACTATATAAAGGGCAACCTGGTGCTACAAAGCTCCTACAATTGTGGGATCTAGACAAGGGTTGGACACATGACTTTAGTGTAAATTTTCTAATAGATCTAATTTATTTAAGTTTCATATAGACCAGTAAACAATACTCTTTAGATTAGTATAAAATTAGCATATAATAGAGTAATGGACTCAGATTATGTCACTAAATAATCCAAATATTTCAGTGTTTTTTTTAGATGGACTACCTTTCTATTGATAAGTGATCTAGAAGAACAACATCAACGTTTCCGCTACATCAGTACTTAATTTGCTAATTTTGCTTCCTCCATAATGAGGGACATACATAAGGGGTACAGTAATTATGCTTATGTCTGTTGATGACATATCAACGATTGAGATTTTAACAACTTATTTTGTTATATATGTGTATGTATTTCATCATAGTATCAATCATTGATTTCCCAATCAACGACTAAAAGTCTGCACTTTATCTTCAAAAGTGCACTCCTGGTTTTACAGGAATCAAATTGTAATTTGATATACTATTTTTCTTATAACATTTGGGTATGTTAGGTTTGAGTAAACATATTTTGTTTTCACTATGCTTCTTGTTTCCAAAGATTTGTTTTCGCCCATGAGGTGTCTGCCCAATGGTAAGAGCTTGGCCTTGTAACCTCAACGGACTGAGTCCAAATCCCCTTGGAGACATTTGTAAGATTTGTAAGATGACCAGTAGTGTCCTTTAATAAACAATTTCTTGTTCCCCGTTTAGAAAAAATTGTTTTTCACTTTTTTTTGTTGTTTTTCACTATTTCTTAGAAATCTTCTAAAACGGGAAACAAATTGAATATAAAGTGGCAACTTTGTAATTAAAAGTGAAAAATGAAAATGAAAAACACAACATTTTGTGACATCAAAAGGCCCTTAAATTTTTTATAGATGGGGATAATAACTTTATTATTTGACCTAGTTGGACAAGCATGGTGGTTGTAAAGAGAAATTAAGAAGAGAGAAATAGGTAAGAAATAAAGAAGATTCATAGTGTTGCTTGTTATAAGAGAAATAGAAGATAAAGTATGTAAAATTATGAAAAGACAAAATTATCCTTAGTATGAAAATATATAAAATATTACTTAACTTTAAGATAGAAAATGCAAGGGAAAATATTGAATAAAGTAAAAAATTGTGTCTCTTTCTTCTTTCTTCTCATTTTAGGAGAGATTAGAAAAAGTGGTTGGACCCACACAATTTTATTCTCTCTTCCCTATTTCTCACCAAACCAATCAAGAGAAATAAGCCATCTCTCGTCAACTCTCTCACCAACTTTTCTCTTTCCTACTTCATCTAAAACAAACACACCCTTAAAGTTCTTTCTCTAACAAGTGCATTCAGAATGTATGTGGTGATTACTAATTAGTATGCATAAGTTCATTACAAATCAAATCTAGCACATCCAAGCCAGTAACTCAGAAAATGTGGCTGTTAATGTGAAGGGGTTCATCAGTTCTAACACGGTTATAAAGACTGGAATCACTCAGCACATGGCTGTTAATGTGAAGGGGTTCATCAGTTCTTTCTAACACAGTAATAATGACTAGAATCACTCAGCACAACAAAAAGCGTGTCAAATTACTAATTCTTTGCAGCCAGATTTATTAAATTTATCATATGAACAAATAACTATAAAAAAGCTTAGAGTATAGAAGACGGAAGTTTTAATATACATGTGGAAATGCCTATTATACATTACCAAAGGATAAAGAAGTCAAAACATACCGAAAGATTGTGAACCATGACGTTTTTAACATCTTGCATCTGCAATTCGGCCTGTCAAATTCAAGATTGTTTTAATAAATTTTACAAGATACTTAAATGTAGTATCCTGCACACCAAACATCTCATATGTGATACTTGAATGCAAAAAGTAAAATTATCTACTAACATAAAATTTGACGAGTAGCTTGAAATGTCAATCCACTATCAAGCAAGCAAGAAAACAATTTGTGGAATAATGTAACTTACTATACTTTTAAAAATGTTGTCAGGCATTACAGGTCAACTAAGAAGGCTTCCCAACACATAACACAGTCTTAATTATTGTTTATTTAGGTGCTATGATTTTGCCAATGACTAACATCCGACAGAAAACCTAGACGGCCTTTAGTAGGGTCTGACATTGTTTAGTTTTAAAGTTACTTAAGAATAATTTTATAAGTTCATTTCACTCTGACCACCTAGAATTACATTTAGAGAATGACCATAAAGAAAGAAAAAAAGTAGCATCCTTTTAACATGATCGGGCTGATAACTGTGATGATGTCTTAGTTGTTATCACAGGTAGGGGGTCAAAGAACACAAGAATCAGTAAGAAAAATCACAGAATTAGCAAGCTGACTTGATTCACCAAAAAGATTTGTTAAGATTTCCCAAATTTCCCTCTTTCTTTTGTATATACAGAAACTTATTGAATTAGGAAACAGCTGTGATTATTTAACATTTTACATCTAAGACATCAACCTGTAATGACTTTGTTAAATGAACCACGCTTCTCTTTGTTGCTCCATATGCAGCAAACCTAAGAAAAAGGGCAAAAATCAATAATTTTCCCCATGGCATGTACAAAGTTCATCATACACAGCAGAATCTAAGGTTCATTTTTGGATTTCATTCAAAAAATACCTTTCAATTGACACCACCCATAAAACACCAACTCCCAGGCTTTACAAGTATTGGTGAAGAGTATAATCAATTATTAAACTTAAAAAAGAACTCATAATCTATGACTTTAATCAAAATGGCAGTTAAATCAATTGGACCACAAAAGACCACGGCATGGTTAACCAAAGCTCGACAAAAGATGATTCAGTATGGCATGTCTAATTTGGCTGTAAGTCCTAGAAGAAGATAATAAACAGCAACAATCTAAAAGTGTAACCAGGAAATTGCACCCAACAAACTCATTATGCAACAGTCCCATGATGTCAAAAAATACCTGGGAGTTGGTCTTCCATCTGAACCTGCTCCATCAATATTGAAAATATGTCCTCCGCGAGGTTGGCCCACCATCATCTTTATTGCCTAAATAGAAACTAAACATCCATGCATAACAGAGTACCTACTTTATTTACAGTGTGCCTCTTACATGAGAATATATTTTACCTCTCGACAGCATATCATCAAGCCAAGTGTGTTTGTTGTAACCACCTCACTGCATGCACAAAATTGAGAGTTTTAAATAAAAAAACATTAAAAATGACATTTAGGGGGGAAGATTTATAGTGGCTCACATAAGATCCTCATCTGATGCTTCAGCAAGTGGCTTGTAACTATATGCATTTGATCCAGCATTATTGATCTGCACCACTCTCATAGGGCAAGAAAGAATGGAATTAGTATACTTCAACAAACACGTTAAATAAAATGAGGGAGTTGAAACAAATGAAAAATTGGTATAGCTACAAGAAAATGTGGAATTATAAATAGTGGAAGAATGAGGAATTGATGGGAAAGGGGAGAAAATTGATATGCTTGATGCTGTCTGTAAATGAAGATGATTGTGAATACAACTACGAAAATAAAATGGCCAGAAATATTTTAAGAACATCAGCTTACATAGTTGACCAGACCATGAATTTACCAATGAGAGAGAGAGAACCAATTACATTTATTCCTGGCAAAAAATTTCTACCCATATATGCAAAATAAGCAACCACAATGGAAAAAAGAAATCAGACATTAATACCCATATATCAATGTATTTCAGTTTTTCTTTAGCAAACGAAACTAATTTCTTCACATCTTCTCCATTTTTGACATCACATGTAGTGCCCTGCAAGAAACAAATGTGAGTATGGGAACACAAGCTATCTATATATTGATCATAGATTGGTTTCAACTAAGAAAGAAGTTCAAGAGGAGGTACCCACACATGCTGCTCTCCAAATTCTTCTCTCAAGCACTTGACAGCAGTCTCTACCCTTTCATCTATAAATGAATACAAAGATACATAGAAAAAGAAATTTTAAAGCCATAGAAATCCCAGACACTAGCCATAAGTCATAAGGTAAATTGAAGAGAAAACATAAATAAGAGGGATTGAGACAAACAATAACAGAAACGAAACAACGTGAATAAATGACTATTTGACTAGATTTCCTCATCGGTCCATTTATTTAGGTTAGAATCTATGTATTGCTATAAATAGTGATTAGGGTTTACATTTTTATAATAAGTTAGTATCAAATCATTATCAATCGTATTACACCAAAATCATTATTTTTTTTTGCACTCATCACTCTATTTTATCTAAAACCTAAACTTCAACGTAAAGGAATTAAGGGAAAGATTAGCAGAAAAGGTGACCATTGATGAATCAATTAGTTAATTATGGGATAAATGGCAGTGATATTGAAGTAGTATATAGCATGAAATAAACAAAAAGCATAAATGAAACAAATTGAAATTGCAAAAGCTTGTTTGTCCACACCTGATCTTGAGCAAACCAAGACATTGTCCCCGGCTTTTAGAAACTCATTTGCTAAAGCAAACCCTATCCCTGAATCATATAGGGAATTAATTCAAGTTAATTGTTGAAATTAGCCGCAAGAGTACAACAATTCGACCTAATAATCGAAATTAGGAACTAAACATGAGGTTGATTGAATGATGAGAGAATAATGCGAACCTTTAGTTGAGCCAGTAATCAAAACGTTGTAAGGGGGAAGCATGGGTTGTGCGTTGTTAGAAGAAGCCATTATAGAGAAAGATGGAGTTTGTTTAGTGAGAGAAAGAGTGAAGAGGGTTTTGCTGTTGTTGTTGGGAATATGGATAATTTGGCGGGAAGTAACGGTTGGGGAAGTGTGTGTGATGAATGTGTAACAACAACTGTTGAATTGGGTTGAGCGAGAGAATGGGGAGAGGGAAAGTTGAGGAGAATGAGAAGTGAGAGCCATTGCGAAGGAGTGGAAATGAGAAACTAGCTAAGCCAGAAATGATACCGTATTATGTCTTTCAGTTTTCAAGGATATTTTATTTTTATCCTTCTCAATCAAATTCTTTGGTTTAAAATTTTATTCTTATTCACCTACTAAATTAAATTCAGTTTAGATCGCCTACAACATGTCACTATATAACTTTTATTTATTTATTTTTTTCTCTAAGAGAATTTTGATTAATGGTGCGTAAGAATTTGATTAATAAATTGATTGATTAATGTAGTTTATAATTTAATTATTAAGTGTTCAGACTAAATAAAATAGGGAGAGATTAATTGTAATATATTGTAAAATTATTTTACATAGTTATTTAATTAAAATAGATTATTTTGACACATGAAGAGAGAAACATCGAAAAAATAGTTATTAAAATTATTTAATTATAATTTTATTTTTTATTTTTTAATTTCATAATTATGTGTTAAAATGATCGTTTTAATTAAATGATAGTGTAAAATAGTTTTACATTGACAGTGTATTTCAATTAATCTTGTTCCGGTATGGGCCCGACCTCGGCAGGCCCAATACCGCGTACGGCCCAACAAGCGAGTCGGGCACGCCGGGCACGTGCATCCCTCAAAGACGAGCAGGGCAGGCCGCCGAACACAAGCAACGTCCCAACAACCTTTCATCATCCACCACATCAGACGAGCGGAACCGTCCCCGGCTCACCAAAGCGCGGTCGTGGTCCCTCCCCTCCGCGGGGAGAACAACGTGCCCGGTGCCCGTTCTCCACATGCTCCCCTCCGCGGGGACACGTCATCAACCAACTGCCCACCTCCGAAAGAGCAGGTCAAACCCACTTTCCGGAGATCTAGGAGCAGTTGGACTAGGGCGAAGACCACGTCCTGGTCCTCACTACGCCACGTAAGCCCTAGCAGTCATTAGGGTTGGGCCTGGTCATCCAGCCCACCTCAAATGACCGTTGGCCCAGCGCTGGGGTCTCTCTATAAATATCCTCTTCCTCTAGAGGGTCAGGTAACTCTTCTTGCCCCTTTTCTGTACTATTGCTTCCACTCTACCCAACTTCTTACTTTGGCATCGGAGTGTCTTGCAGGTACACCCCCCTTCTCCTCCTCATCACAGGCGAACAGGTAGCAGCCCAACAGAGTGTGGCCAGCCCGTGATCCCTTCTGATCAGGTCAGATCAGTGGCGCCGTCTGTGGGAAATCTGAAACTTCCCCGTTACTCCGAGCAGAAAACCAAAAGTTTCACCAAACCTCCACGATCATGGCTAGTCCACACCGCGACGACACTCAGCACGACCTTGCGCCCAACGTCGCCACCAACGGGAAGCAGACAGGAACGACACGCCCGACGGAAGCCGACGAAAGGGACGGGCAAACTGCTTCACCATCATCCGCGGAACGGCCCCTTCAGACCGATCACCGCCCCTCGAGCCCGCCAGCATTCCACCCCGTTCCCATCCCGGCGGGAGCAGATCCGACGGTGGTCGCTCTCTTTACGGCCATCAACCAGACGAACCAGCTGTTGTTCCAACAAAATGCGAGGATTGGAGCATTAGAACGCATCGGCCCTCCGGGGTACCCCCAGCGGGAAGACCAGAACGGAGGTTCGAGGAGTCCGTCTCCTCGACCCAGAAACCGCCGACCGCGGCTGGAGAGACACCGCCCGCAGGCGACACGGGAACGCACCAGATCCCCGGCGAGACACGTTCGCGTGAGGAACCAGAACACCGCGGCGATCCCAACCGAGGAACCCCGAGGCGAGAACTCAGGCAGGAGATCGAGAACTCGAAACCAGGGGCACACCTTGAATGGCTCATCTCCCCACAGATCCCCGACGCAGAGCGACGAGGACGACTACCGCACCCCGCTATCCCGGGAGATCATGGCTGCCCCCATACCCCAGGGGATGGAGAAACCACCGACGCTGTCGACATACGACGGCACCTCCGACCCGGACGATCACCTGGAAGATATCGAGGCTATGCTCGATTACCGAAACGTCCGGGGAGCTATCAAGTGCAGACTCTTCCCGACGACTCTGAGGAAAGGCGCTATGACTTGGTACAAAAGTTTGGAGCCCGAATCAGTTACGTCATGGAGGGTCTTGAAGGACCTGTTCTCCAAACACTTTACGACGTCCCGACGTCACCCGAAGACGGAGGCAGTCCTCGGGGCAATCATCCAAGGCCCCGACGAGCCTCTCCGGAAATACATCGAAAGGTTTACTCGGGAAGCCGTGCAGGTGACAACCTCCGACGAAATGAAACGCTACTTAATGGAACAAGGCCTGCACCACGACTCCAAATTCTACGAGGCCGTAGGCATACACCGGCCCACGTCCCTCCAAGATTTCCTCGACAGAGCCGCGCATTACATCCGATTCGAGGAAACACAGGCGGCCAACTCCGCTCGCGACACTCGAGACAGAGAGGCCCCCCGCGGGCACCGAGACGACGGAGCTTCAAGCCATCGACGAGGAGGAGACCGCCGTCGGGAAGACCGCCCCCGCGAACCCCGCGAACAACGCGAACCACGCGGCCCGGCAGGAAGATTCACAGAGTACACAGCCTTGGTCGCTTCACGCGAACGCATACTGGCCGAATGCGCTAAAACCGAGTTCGTTCAGGGAGGTGTCCGTTTTCCGCGACCAACGCCGCCCAAACCCAACGTGGACAAGTCAAAATATTGCCGATTCTACAGGACCCACGGGCACGTGACGGAAGACTGCATCCATCTCAAAGATGCGATCGAAATCCTAATCAAAGACGGGCACCTGAAGCGATACACCCGAGGAGGTGAACCACCCAGGCCAGAGGCTCCGGAAGCTAAGAAAATCGAGGAACTCCCCTCTCCAGAGGACAACGGCAGGCTCCAGGTCGCGTTATGCATCGGCCGCCCCGAGGATTGGTTTGCGAGCAGAGAATTCGGCATCCCCGAAGGACCCAACCTAATCGACGAGCCAATCCGAGCAACCAGCCGATGGGAATACTTCCCCAGAGCCATGGTCATCTCTGATGGGGCCACGAGGAGTCTATCCATAGGATTTGTGAAAAGGAAATTCGACGAGCTCATCGCGAACAACTCCGGCAAAATGAGCACGCTCGACAAATTCCGAGGCCGCTCCAACCCGATCACATTTTACCTCGAGGAACTACCCGGGGGATCTCCCAATTCCAACATACCCTTGCTCATACGGGCCCGGATGGCAAACTTCGACGTCAGGCGCCTCCTCGTCGACGGCGGGAGCTCGGTTGACATCATGTACTCACATCTGTTCACAACTCTCCAGCTCGACGAATCCAACCTCTCTCCCTACGTAGGCTCCGACCTTCAGGGGTTCAACGGGACGACGACGAGAGCTTGGGGATACGTGGAATTTAAAGTCACCTTCGGAGAAGAGGAAACAGCCAGGGACATCAGCATCCGTTTCTTAGTCATCGAATGCCCGTCCCTCTATAACTGCATCCTGGGCAGGACGACGATAGCAGAACTCACCGAGGTACCCTCCACCGTCCACCTGAAGATGAAGTACTACACGAGAAGAGGAGCCGTGGTAACCCTCAACAGAGACATCGAAGCCGCTCGAAGATGTTTCGAAGCCGCGCTAAAGGGCCTAGACTCCATCGCTCCATCGACCAAAAAGAAAGCGTTGAGCGCTACGCCAAAGGACAAACCAACGGAGCTGGTCGGATCCGTTGAGCTCGACAGTCGCTTCACCGACGAGCTCGACAATAAAACAAAGACCGACGAAGTCAACGGGAAGCCCCCACACCCAGCGCGCCCCATCCTGGATGGAGAATTCGAACTCATTCCCCTCGGGGAAGACACAAGCAGAACCGTGAGGATAGGCGCAGGACTCCCAGACCTCGCGAAACGTCAGCTCCAAGCCTGCCTCCGTGAGAATGCCGACCTCTTCGCCTGGAGCGCCGCGGAAATGCCGGGACTCGACCCCGAGATCGCCTGCCACCAGTTGTCCATCAACCCAACCGCAAAGGTCGTTGTACAACGCCGACGTCGACAGTCCCCCGAAAAATCGGCAGCGGCCGAACAAGCTGTAAAAGACCTCTTAGAGGCAAATTTTATTTCGGAAGCCCGGTATTCAACCTGGATGTCCAACGTTGTACTCGTTAAAAAGAATAATAGAAAATGGCGCATGTGTGTTGACTACACTGACCTCAACCGGGCATGTCCTAAGGACGCCTACCCCCTCCCCAATATCGACAAGCTCGTCGACAACTCTGCGGGCTTCAAGCTCTTGTCCTTCATGGACGCGTACTCGGGATACAACCAGATCCCGATGGCCGAACACGATAAACAAGCCACGGCCTTCATGACGGCGTCGGGCAATTACTATTACAACGTGATGCCCTTCGGCCTCAAAAACGCCGGGGCCACATACCAGCGGATGATGAACCGTGTCTTCCGCGACGAAATCGGGGACATGCTCGAAGTGTATATGGACGACATGATCGTCAAATCCGGCGCAGAGGACGACCACGCGGCACACCTCCAGAAGGTCTTCAAGACCGCGAGGTCATGTCGCATGCGTTTTAACCCGGAAAAGTGCACCTTCGGCGTCTGCGCCGGTAAATTCCTCGGCTACTACTTGACCGAACGGGGGATCGAAGCCAATCTGGACAAATGCCACGCCTTCTCCAATATCACCACGCCGACCACGAAGAGGGCCATCCAGTCCCTCAACGGCGTACTCGCCTCCCTCTCGCGATTCATTGCGAGATCGGCTCAACACGCCCTCCCATTCTTCAAACTGCTCAGGAAGGAGACCAAATTCGAATGGACTGACGAATGTGAGAAAGCCCTTTGCCACCTCAAACGCGTCCTATCTGAACCACCAGTGCTGACACGCCCCGCGGCGGGCGAAACCCTATACTTATACCTGGCCGTGTCCAACGAAGCCGTCAGCGCCGTCCTCGTGAGCGAAGCCGGGGAGGGACAAAAGCCCATTTACTTTACTAGCAAAGCTCTCCA